AGAGTGGACAGCGTATCCACAACTTGTCAAAACGTTTGGAGCGTTGGGCTAAGCACTTTGAAAAGCAATTTAATTGGTCGGAATTGTTAGATTTCTCGCAGGCCATTGATCACCTCGCTCCGTAGGCTGTCCCTTTTATCCACCCTGTCGCTCAGAACTGGAAGATGAGATTACACTGTTGAAGTTAAATAAAGCCGCGGGACCAGATGATCTACCTTCACCCCTCTTCGAATTTGGGGGACCTGCTCTTGTGGATGATTTGTACGAGTTACTAGTGAAACTGTGGAAGCAGGAAACTGTCCCAACCAACTGGAACCGCTCCGTCATAGTCCCAATTTTCAAGGGAGGCTCACGATCGGAATGCAGCAACCATAGAGGAATCAGTCTGATCTCCATCGCCTCCAAATTGCTTGCCTCTGTCATCCTTCACAGACTGACTAGCGCACCAGTGAAGCCATATTCGTGAAGAGCAAGCCGGGTTTCGTCGAGATCGTGGTTGCATTGACCACATCTTCACTTTGCGTCAGTTGTTAGAGCACCGTCACACATATTGGCGGCCCACCGTTGTCGTGTTCCACGATATCAAAGGTGCATTCGATTCGGTGGATAAACTTGCACTTTGGGACTGTCTACTCAGGAAATGTCTACCTGAGAAATATGTAAATATTATCCGAGCATTATATGCGCGTAGCTCGGGCAGAGTGAGGGCTTACGGCAAGTTGTCGTCGCCCTTTAATATCTAAAGCGACGTGAGACAAGGATGCCCGCTGTCACCTTTCCTCTTCAACTTCGTTGTTGACGAAGTCATGGAAATCGCGTTTACAGGACACGACTTAGAAGGTGTGGAGCTACTCCCAGGAGAACGACTTCTTGACTTAGAGTATGCTGATGTTATTACCCTAATCTGGGACAGCTCACAAACGTGCCAAGCGGCACTGGACAGATTAGCACTAGCTGTTCGTCACTTCGGGCTTTGCTTCGCACCCTCGAAGTGCAAAGCTTTCCTCCAAGATTGGTCTGGACCGCCTCCTACGCTGACCGTTGGTGGGTATCAGCTAGAAGTCGTCCAAAAATTCAACTAGTTGGGAAGTTGTATCAGCGCCCGTTGGATTGAAGATGAGAGCACGAATCGCATAGCAAAAGCTCGAGGCGCTTTTGCTAACCTTCGCCACTTATGGCGCCGGCGCGACATCACTGTCGCTCTGAAGGGTAGAGGGTACAATGCAGCAGTACGTTCGACCCTCTTGTACGGTTGTGAAACCTGGCCGCTTAAAGCAGCGGACCTGAAGAGGCTAGTTACGTTCGATCGTCGGTGCCTTCGCAATTTCCCTCACATCTGGTGGGAACACCGAGTAAGCAACGAGCGTTTTCGACGCCTTGTTTATGGCACAGGAAATGGAAATGAACCGTTCAGCACTGTTATTTCACGCATCAGGCTCCGATGGCTCGGCCACGTGTTACGCATGCCAGCCCACCTACTCCCGCGACGTGCGTTGCTTGCGCGCCGGGGGTGTGGATGGAAGAAGAGGAGGGGTGGCAAAGCGATGACTTGGTCCAAAGGAATGAAGGCCCTCACTTCTGAACTGGCCTCGGTTGGAGCGTCTCGGCTCCCTTGTTTGGGTTCGAAAGTCGACGAACACGTTTGGCTAGATACACTTGCTGATATGGCTAGGAGCCGACCTCAGTGACGTTCGTGCTGTGAGTTTCTTTGTCCCACCCCATTCTTTGTAACCTCCCCCTCAAACCACTATCTCACTATTTAGATTTATATAATTTTGCATAGTAATCTTTTGTTGTTGCATAGTAGCCGGCTGGTAGCTTATCGGAACGATGCCTATCCGTTACGGGTAACTCAGCTAACTTGCACCTGTTGCGTATTTTTCTCCTTTTTTTCCTCTATGTATTGCGGTACCATAGCTGAGGTGTTTCTCATCTCTAGCCTAAATGTATGATGATGATGCCTTCCAGACCCCTGCGCTGGCATGTGTTGTTTTCTCTATGTTGTGCGCAGTTGGATTTTACTCTGATATAGTCGGTGAGCTTGAAGCAACTCACCGAACGGCCGATTCAAGTTGGTACTTCTTTTCTTACCGGATGGGGCCGTTGCGGCAGGCCCTATCCGCATTTGCATGCATGGTCAACTAGTCGTTTTAGCATTTACAACCACTAACTCTCCCATCTGACCCACTTTCTTTTTGTCTATTTTGGACTGCGTATGCCTAGGGGACTGAATCTACCGCCCCTCAGTGCATTGATCAAATTTAGGCAAAACTACCAAGTGGCCACTCGACGACGTTGCGCAACGACTTGACGAAATTAACCAGAAAACTTGATCATGCTTGTGCGTTTCCTAATTGTGGAAACGGCCTCGGGATGGTCCATATCACCCACTAGAGACTCTCTCGGACATGGCACAGCCGTCTGGCCAATGACGTTCGCTTTCTTGCATCTAACTGGTAGTATTCCATCCTAATTAATACTGCTTACTCTCTTAATCCACTTTTTTCACATCTGGTTTGCGTTCTGTCTCATTTCTCTCGCCTTCGTTTATTATTGCTACCCTTGCAACGCACATCATGGCTACTGGGTCTACTACAGCTGAACTAATGTCTACTTTGCCAATTGGAACAGTACCAGATGGGATGGTGGACTTCTTTATACTGAAATCTGCGGTCTGCAAAACAACTTACACAGCATAGAATGTCGCTACACCATGGTTTTTGTCCTTCTGTTTCGCTCATTCATCACGCGTAAACTCAAGCATGGTGTCGCCACACAACCAAAAAACATCGAACATTGTTGTCTTGGTACTGGAGCTCACTAGCGATGCGCTTTTCTTTCGAAGTTCGACCTCGAAACCTCACGGCTTACACCGCACGTCTTGTAATGGCGTTGTCGGGCGAAACCATTATTTTGCTTTTTTCCGAGAGGGTGCTAGCTTAAGAGCTGAGTCTAGATGCGCCAACGGCCCATTTGAAATTTATCACTTCTCCTACCACTGTTCTACTTTGATTTGTGCCAATTTGTTTGCAGTGGCTATCTGACTTTCCTAGGCTATGACGAATCCACATAGAACATCTTTGTTTGGCCTTCGTGTTTAGTCAGCACTTACGCATTACTTTACAATTTTTCAACCACTCCATGTTCGCTGAGCTTTTGGTATATTTGACCCTCATTGAATTTTTATTTTGCCATTGTTACTATATGGATTAGGGGTTCACTCGTCTTTCACCTGCTGACCTTTTTGTCCACGAAACCTCGCTCGTGTATATGGGGATCACCGCACGAGTATTGACAATGCCCCGCGATTGGAATTTAACATTGCATTCTTTGCATCATCGGTTTACTTTGGACTGCTCCCGTTATTTGACTCAATTTCCTCGCATGCCCTCTGATCACCAGCTGCGATATGCTTTAGGTACTAGTATTGCGTCTTACTGCGCAACGCTTCATAAATTCTCCAATTCGCCAACTAAAGGGTCGGGTCTCATTAATGAATGTATGGATATGATCTACAACATAAGCCGCATCACTGAATAGAGACTGCATTCGATGGTCACGGCGTTATTAGTGCTCTTACACTCGGTTTACCTGTTTCTACCTAAATCACTTTATGCTTCCCTTGTGACTTATCTGTTTCTCTCATAACACCCTTGTGCTCTTCGTTTTCTCCCCTTAATGTTTTCTAAAGTGGCACACTAACGCATCTCTGTGGTCTGCTTCTGGTGAACTAGCTGAATTCAAATGAAATGTACTATTGAATTGCTCCTTTTTGTCTCAGTACTGTGCTTTCATGTTCTTGCCGACACATCAGTGTTCTTTTTAACTTATTACTTAGATACCGTACAACAAGGGCACCATTTGTGGCGACCGTTGCTCAGTGTACCTCTGCCTTCGGCGTTTTCGGAGGTTTCTTATTTGGAAATATGACACTTTTGACATTTTATTTTTTTGCCATCGTCAGTAGTGTACATTCTGTTGTATTGAATTTTCAGAAATATTGTTAGAAGAATGTACGAATAACTTCGTAATGGTTTGTTCTTGCTTTTACCCCCCCCCCCCCTTAGCATCGAGTCATAATATCAATGGTTTTATGATTGCTACCGCATCATTTTTGCTGCTGACTGCTCGTTTTCTTTTCTCGGTAAGCACTGTTTCCCTTTTGGCCTTACTGCTAGTTCACTATCTAACTTGGTACGTAATAGTCACCGTAGGCACTTCTGTTCGGTGTTACACCCGAGATCATGGGGTCACAGTCTACAGTACATTTTTCTCTTTACCTCTTGTCGAAACCCATCAGCTCAGTAATGCTAGTACTATGGAGACAGTTCCCTGGTCTTCGCGCTGTTACTTTAACAGTTGATGTGTGAATCCCAACCGCCTGTTTCCTGCAGCTCTACTTTTAAAAGGGCTGTATCTGCGTCTCATTTATTCCTCCATTATAGAACATGTTAGGCCGTCGCATCAACCATGTAGTTTGTTTGCGCTCTCACTTCCAAGCTTTGTTGTTTCACTGATCACTAAAGTTCCATTTATTTAAATTTCTTTTATTGCAAAACTACGTGCACATGTTAGAATTACATTCAATTAAATAAGTGGGACTTTAGATTCAATTAACATTTTTAGTCTGCATCTTCTAATGTCTCCTTTGGCCTACAGCTTCCAACCCAGAGCTGATGAGATTGAAAGTTTCCTCCGACTTTTATATTTCATGATTTACCTATCTTATTTTCCCCACAGCATCCCATGTTACAAACTAGTTATCGACCATATTTCCCCTTCATCAATGCCGTGGGATGAAAGCTAAGCCTCCGTTCCTGCTATCTGGATAATTGTTGTTCATTAGAAGCACTAACACACATGTGTTTTCCGTAATAATCGTTTATTCCAGATTCGCAGTGTGCTTTTTCGTTTGTTTGACTACCACATTGGTTCTTTGAATTATCTGTGGTTTTCCTTCGTGTTAATTTTCTCTGTTCTATCCGTTTCATTGCTTGCAGCGAACCGGACGATGAGGGTTACTGTGCATCCCCATCCAAGCTCTTGGAGAGTAGCCTGTGATTTCCCCGTGCATCTTCCATTCCTCGGTATTCCACTGAACTGTGATCCATTAGATTTTATGTTACTCCCACTTGCCCCCTGCATCTTCTGGAAGGGGCATGCAAGAACACAAAGTGGGAGTTTCCGATCACCGAGCTTTCATTTGTACTTCCATCGTTTTTCATTCTACTCCTTTTTCAGATCCTTTCGCGTTCTTTTCCTCTCCCGATATCACCACCTATATTTCGGTCTTCTCTGTTCCCCTAAACGATGTGGATTTGGTTTCTACTTCTTTCCTGGATGACATTATTTTTCTTACATATTTCTAGATCTCATCATTTTTGTTTGGTTCGCATACATTTCCTGTTCATTCACGAACTTTGTGTTTGTCTGCCGTTTTCTATTTCATTTACTTTCTATTCATTAAAGGCAACTAGTGGACACATCATGGATTCTACTGCAGCCAAGCCCTCATCTAAGGGAGCCATAATGCGGTATGCTTAGTTAAGTTATTCTGTCAGATCCGTGCTAGATTAACCGGACGAAACAGCCACCGAGCACCGGCAGACTCCCATTTTATGTCATCCCGATCCACCAGAAATCCTTCCTCCTATCCAGTGTTGAGCACTGAGGCTCTCCTTCTCTAAATTTAGATCATCAGCCACGATCAGTGTGCTTGCTGGCAGCCAAAGGCTCCCCTCCGTTGCTATACTTTCTGCTTACAGTCCCAGCTCTTCATTAGTTAAAACGATGGATTTGGCCGAGCGTCTGAGTGGGATTTTCTCCAAATCATGTTTCACCTACCCTCACATCGTTTTCTGTAATACACCCGCAGGATACTCATTTCCTATCCTGGCCGGACGATTGCGTTAGTGCTTGCCACCTTTTCCCGGATGTCATGTGTTTTATCCTACTAAGTTTCACCGCACATTGTGGGGGATCACATTGCTTAATACTCGCTGTTTTTCATGCTTTCGAGTACGGCGGTCACAGTCACATTTCGGACAGGGTTCCGTAACGGAGACCCACCGGCATCATAATGCACCAACTGTTTATCTGTAGCAGTAGAGTTGTAGCAGCGATTTGCTTTATCCATGCTCGTCACTATCTCTGAATTACTTTCAAATTTATTAATTCCTGGTTATTAGTAGTATTGAGTCGAATAAAGTCGTGGAGCTCCACTATGCACTAACGATGCAACAATTGAAATCACCACGGTAACTTTGGGACCCGATGATACTGATACTGATTAGAAGCAGCGAGTAGAGCATACTCTGTGTAGCTGCATCAGTTGTCGCTCTTGGGCATTAACGTATTAATTATCGTTTCGCTCTTTATATTTTGCCTCTGCGAAGTGTTTGTCTAGAAGCTTCTTAAATTCGGCCACTGAATTCGCCTCTATTACCGGCTGCGGCAGTTTGTTCCAGGTATTCACCACTCTACGTTCGAAACTGAGTTGGTGAGCTACCCGCTTCAACTGCGGTACGATAAGTTTGTACCGGTGTCCTCGCGTGCTGCTTGGTGTGCGCAGATGATGCAGTTGTCTCAACATGGGGTAATCACTCAGATGTAATAGTCGGTGCGTCATGATTAGGTCAACCCTCAGCCGACGATATGCTAGGGTGTACAGCCATAGTTTCTTACATCGGTCTTCGTATGGCATACCTCGTAAGTTGGGAATCAGCCTAGTGGCTACATGCTGCAACCGCTCAAACTTTTCTACCTCGCCCAGGGTGATGGGACAATATGCGGGAGAGCCGTACTCTATCATAGGTCGTATTATCGAGACGAAGAGGCGAGTGGCAATCTCTTCGGACCAAGTGCTGAAGCTGCGCCTGAGCACCCAAAGCATCCGAAGACTGTTTTGGTACAGCCTATTCGTGTTGTCAATGGACTTTAGGTCGCAGCGTGATAGCACACCGAGGTCGCGCACGAAAGACGCGGGATGCATCGGTCGATCAGCCACTGTGTACGTTCGGCTGTGCTCGCATTTGCCCAACCTCATGAATTGCGACTTAGCAGGGTTGATCGGAAGGTTAACATCTGCAGACCATGTTGAGAGGCTGTCGAGATCCTGCCGAAGTAAATCACAGTCATTGAGTGTGCGGATTACTCTCCACACCTTCAAGTCATCTGCGAACAACGCACATGGTGATTGGAGTAGCTTAGGCACATCGTTTACATGGATCAGAAACAATATCGGCCCCCAGTACAGTGCGTTGGGGTACGCCGCCGCTCGATGGATACCAGTCCATTAGATGGTTGTTTACCTGGCCTCTCCACTTCCTGTCCACAAGGAAATTTCTGATCCATTTGTGTAGCGAACCACCAACACCGCACATCCTCAGCCTGTCAAGGAACACTGAATGGTTGACCTTGTCAAAAGCCTTACTGAAGTCAATGTAAATGACATCGACTGAATGGCCTTTGTTCATCGCTTGTAACCATTCCTGCCTCGTCAACAGTAGGTTGGTGATGCACGAGCGACCTTTCATGACATCTTGCTGTGCGAAGGTCAACAGGTTTTTCGACTCGAGAAGCTGCAGAAGGCTGTGTTTCACGCTCTTCTCGAGCGCCTTTGCCAAAACAGCAGTCAAGCAGATCGGCCGGTAGTTATCCACTTTACTTGGGTTACCACCTTTCGGTATGGGCTTTACGACTGAGCATTTCCAGTCGTCTGGTAACAGTCCAGTAGATAGTAACCTGTTAAACAGTTCAGTTACAGAAGGCGCGATGATGGCCGATAGGGACTTGATGATCAGTGGGTGTATACCATCTGGCCCAGCAGGCTTTGTCCCGTCAAAATTTGCTAGAAGCTTGCGCACATTCTCAATATTGCAGTCCAGGCTGTTAAGTTCGGCTGGTGCGGTACTCGTCGAACTCGTTACAGACACCTGATCACTTGCAAATACGGAGGCGAAGTGAGTCGCCAATGCGGACGCACAATCTGTACTCGAGGTTAGGGGCTGTCCATCGGAGCCTTCTAACACTGGGACATTGGCTACAGGCCTCAGGCGCCGTTTCACGTATGCAAAGATCCTCTTGGGAGCAGTTTTTGCGGCGGCTGCAAGCTTCTCTCCGAAGCTTCTGCGTTTTCTGGTTTTCGCGTCGTTGCAGCGATTTCGCTGTACCTTATACGCATTGTATTCCTCATCAGAGCCAGATAACACGAACTTGTTCCATAGTCTGCGTCGTCGTCGGGCCAGTTTGTTGTACTCTTTGTCGAACCAATGTGGTTTGACTGGCCCAACTTTTCGAAATTTGAGGGGTACAAATCGGGCGCACAACGATTTTACTCCCTCTTTAATGATAGTCCAACAGGTTTCAATAGATGAATCCTGTGGTAAAGACCAGTCTATCTGGCTCGCTGCTCGAATGAGGCCATTAAAGTCCGCCTTCCAATAGTTGAAGGTTGGCTCCAGTGGGGAAGAATACGGCAGTGGTAGTTCCAAGCTGCCCATAATCATCGAGTGGTCGCTCGCTCCCAGAGGCTCTAAGACTTGAATGTTATGCACACGCTGCTCCCAGCTAGTCAAAAGTAGGTCTAAGCATAATGGAGCCGCGCGCGCAGTAATGCGTGTCGGTTGGTTGATGTGCTGTGTGGCCCCGGTTTCAAATAGCAACTCCGTAAACTTCCTCTTGACTTCACAGTGGCCGGGGAGAAGTTCAGCTTCAGGCCACTGTATTCGGGGCAAGTTGAAATCGCCCATGAGTAGGAATAGCTGATGACTCATGTGGTTGCGGACATGCAGCAACCAGTCCAAACTGCGGCTCAGTGGGCTGCGATATAATACGCCCACGAGCAACTCGCAGCGTCTGAAGTGAATCGAACACCATAACTGCTCATATAGACCATCAGCGCTTTGGTAGGCGCTCACTAGTCTCCCACACAAGGAAGACTTTATGTAAAGTAGAACGCCACCGCGATCATTTGATGGTCTATCATAGCGAAAGCATGAGACGGATGCCAATTTTCACTACGGCTCCAGTTTAACATTTGATAGCAACCTTTCTCGTGTGGATGCGAGACCACTAGAGCAATGCGGCAGGACATTTGCTTTGCAGCTTCCTTGTATTTACTACCGCAATTACCATTTCCCTGTCATACTTCCTGCCATGTACGATAGCATTCATTTCCACCGTACCCTCATCACCGTCTTGGTGTTACTCAGTTTTAATTCGGTCGCCGAGGTGCAGCGGTTTCAGCTATAGTGAGTTGCCACTGAGAAAATGAAGGGAAACATAAGGAACAGGATGACAACGTAGACCGACTTGTAGCCAGCCGCAAATGCTCCGTCGCAATGAGACAATCTTAACGTCTTACGACGGTTTTCGTTATTCTTCTACCTATCCAGCTACACAGGTTGGTGCCGCGCACCTCTTGAGAACTACTCCCAGCAGGCTGGTCACTGGTTAAGGGTCAAACACATTCTCCTGGGTTGCTGAGTGGAGTTGGAACGGCGTACATTTCTGTACAACAGAGTCGTTGCTGTCCAGCTGCATTGCAAACACGCTTTTGAGTCAACGGTTTTGGAAGAGGGCCGTAATCTTTCTCTTGTCTAATTCTAGGCACCTAATAGCATCTCAACCCACGTAAAACCATAACAACTTAATCAAATTTCCATCATATCCTGCATCCACCGTCGAGCAGCTTTACAGTGGTCGTCCCATCTGCTGTATACAGCAGGGCGGATAAGCAAAAATATACCACTGCTAGCGCCTAACTTGTTTCTTCTCAATATGTTTCTTTTAATCTCATCAAGAGGCTCATTACTAAACTCCATTCTAGAATGCCCAGCTTAGTTGGCAGCAACCGCCATGCCACCGAAGTTATACCATCTGCAGCTATCTTCCCGCACAACCCACTGTACTCCTATCAACAACAGCTCGCTGTCTCATTCATCATTCGCACTTTAAGATATATAAGTCAACAGGCTGCGCTCGCACACATTTTGGATACCCTGGGTATTGACAT